ATTAGTAAGCTGAAGTGGCAATGGGCCGGCCATATAGCTCGAAGAATCGACAACCGTTGGGGAAAAAAGGTTCTAGAGTGGCAGCCTCGAACCAGTAAGCGAAGTGTAGGGCGAACCCCCACTAGATGGAGTGACGACCTGGTAAGACATGCAGGAAGTCGATGGATGCAGATGTCTAGATGAGAAGTCAGCAGAAGCTCCAACAGGGAAGGGGAATGATCCTAATGATTTCTTATATTTACGCGAACACTACACATTGAAATAATACTAGTTTTTACGGAATTTATCGCGTATATTTAACTTTTTTAACTTTTTAAATACCCGACGTTTCGAACGCTTTACAGCACTCATGGTCACGGGCAGGACTGAGATGTTCAACGTCCATATGTCATAGTTAACCGCGGTTACCATAGATTAAAATTTTAACTTTTGTTCCGATCTATGCAGTATGAACTTATGGTATCTTGAAGTCTTGCAGTTGTATGCTTGGGTTGGGATTTAATTTTATTTATTATAGGATCCCAAGCAGATGGTAGCACCCAGCCATCTTCTCTATTGAAATTAGGATGTTTTTTGATTTCAATAGCCTCGCGAATCATCCTTGGAAGGAATCGGTGTTCTTTAGCGAGGATCTGCGGTCTATCAAATCTGATGTAGTGACGGGGGGCGATCCTGTACGAACACGTACGTATTGAAATCAAAAAATATCCTAATTTACCCGCCGCGGTTAACTATGACATATGGACGTTGAACATCTCAGTCCTGCCCGTGACCATGAGTGCTGTAAAGCGTTCGAAACGTCGGGTATTTAAAAAGTTAAAAAAGTTAAATATACGCGATAAATTCCGTAAAAACTAGTACCTATTATTTCAATGGGAATGATCCTCCACATCTGGGATAGGTGAAGTAACTAGTTGTATTTTTGTTTGTGTTTTTTCGTTTATATTTATGTACATATGAAAAAAATCATTAAAATCAATTCGTAGCATACAAAGATAATGCGTATGTAACATATGAGTACGCACAAAGAGGGAGCATAAGTACAATCGAAAAATGTTTTGAGAATCCTTTTCTGAAGTCGTCTTGATAAGAAATTTGTTTGCCTAAGCCTAAACATTTAATGACTGACTTTTTGTATGTAAAGTGTACAGACTTTTAAGAGTAAAAAGGTAGGTTCCGCTAAGAGTTTAACTTCAAATTCACTTCGGACTTTTTTTACAATGTAAATATAAAATTTATTAATAATTCCATCACAGTACCTTATCGTAGGTCTACATTTTGTGATTTCCAATATTCACATCAACAATACACAAGAACAACGAGAATATTGTGTATGTGAGTCATTAATGTAGTTCTATCATAAATATAGATATTGTTAATATATTGACTACACCGCCACCTATCGGATCACACAACTAACTGACGCACCAACGATTATTATTTATAATACTAGCGACCCTCCCCGGCTGCACGCGGGTGTATTCTGGATTTCTAAAACAGCGCCACCTAAAGGTTCTGAAAAAGATAACGAATGAGCATTTTTTCCACTTGATGGCAAATGACAATGCGAATAATGAAGATGCAATCAAATGCTTTGCCTGCCCTGAGGAATACAGTGATATGACAATCTGGTATTGCTTGGCATGATAACCATCTCCAGATTCAGTTTTCCTTTATCGCCTCTTATGAAACTCCTGGGATGACATGGATTTTTTTTATTCAAGCGAGATGCTGTAGCCCATGGACATCTACATCTCCTCGATTAAGAATAAAAATGCAGATACGTTGTCATCCTTGAGAAATAAGATGGAATGCCTCGTATCCAATAAAAGGGGTCGCCGGTTCTCTACACTCAGCATACGAAATACAGTAGCATTAAGCTACTACTTTACGCTGGTATTCCGTGAGAACGTGGTCCTGCCCCGGTTGAGCCGACCCATTCGTGCTACAACAATACAAAACATATAAAACAAAGACCTTTATGATGGTATTATGGTGGTGGATTATCGTTGTACGAGAATGACACTGAAAGTTCTTAGAAAATCAAAAAATGAAGAAACTAGCAAGTTATTAGTTTTATTTTATCTTTTCAAAATAATGTCCATTTACATCAATACATTGCAGCATCCGATGGAACCACTAAGAAAAGCACTTTGCCCACTCGTCCTTAGGGGTCTCTTCGACGGCATTTTGAAACGACGCAGCCACTGCTTCCTCGGCGTCCATAAAACGTTTTCCTCGATTTTTTTTCTTTTACATTCGGAAATAAATAAAGATCGCAAGCTGCGAGGTTGGGGCTATAGGGCGGGTGACCCAGTAATTCCACGTCTGACGTCGCCAAGTAGTTGATTGTTTGCTTGGCGGTGTGCGACCAGGCGTTGTCGTATTGATGGAGGATCCTACTGCGAGGTCGTTTCTCCCGAACTTTTTCCAAGACAAGACACTCTGCAGTAACTGTTTTTCGATCCTCTTATACAATTGTTGCGTAGTGACCTTCTTACGAAGAACGAGGCCACCAACTTTTTTCCCACGCTTCGACCCCTTTTCACTTTCGTTGGCAACTCCTCGGAAGAAAACACCCAGACAACAGACTGTCTCTTATTTCAGGATCATAACAATAAATCCAGTTTTTGTCACCCGTATGTCGAACACAGCATTTAAGTCACCACCGTTAAATCTTTGAACCATTTCACGACTCCAATCAACACGACGGAGTTTTTGGGCCTCTGTCAAATTATGAGGTACCTATCCACCGGGCACAAAGCTTTCTGACCGCTAAAGGTTTATGGAAGATTTTGTGCACTTGACGCATACCGATGCCTAACCTGGTCCGAATCTGCTGATAAGTCACTCTATTGTCAGTGTGTATCTACTCGTATACGCCGCACAACACTGATGTTATATTCAGTCGTCGCCGTAGAAGGCCGTCCCTCACGCAGATCATCGGTGAAATTAGTGCGAGCACATTTAAACTCATTAAACCAGTTGTAAAGAGTGAAACGAGATGGAGCTTCATCGTGAAAGGCCAATCGAAGTCTATCATAAACTTTTTGTATACTTAAATGACATCGAACATCATGAAAAATCATTGTACGAAAATTTTCTCGCGTTGAATTAATGCTGACGTGACACAGATTATTTTCTATTTGTCGCCAAATCGTAAACAAATGACAAATTAATAAAATACATACACAATAATATTGGCAATGAGTTCCATTTTCAAAATTTGTACTTATTTTTTATTAAATCGTTTACAAGTAGCCAGTTCTAAAAACTTTCAGTGTCGTCCTCGTACAACGATAATCCACCACCATGATACCATCATAAAGGTCTTATACTGGTTTCCCTTCAAAGCGTATTAATTAGCTTGCTACGTAGTTACATATTTATTTATCTATGGTATTAATCTTTCTCCTTTTAAAGGGAGTTTTGGCCGGAACTTGGCCGTCGACGGATTGTTGCTCCTGTTTAATCGCTTAAATAATGAGTTGAAGTGGATTTTGATTCGTAAAAGTGATGCGATTTTGTGAATTAAGTGTCTGCGCGTGAGAATTATTAGAGGAAATGACGAAACAAGTGCTTCGATGTTTATATGAACCTCAAGTTATTTTGATCGGTTGGCGCTTTATGAACTTGAGTGACTATCATCATCAACTATTCGCTGGGTTGAGCTGTCGTCAAATCTCGAAAAAACTTCACAATGTGGCGCATCAGCATATTGTGAAGAAAAAATTTACAAAAATGAAGATATCGAAAGAAATGATAGGCTCAGAAGGGCTAGAACTCAGAGCCCTAAAGCCAGGTAAATAAAAAATCTTTTAAAAGTAGTAATCTGTTAAAAAATTCATTAGTAATGAATCATTACGGACCAAGATTTAGTTACCTATATGAAACTTATTTATGATAATAAAACCGGCGAAGCTTTTGTATTGACGCACGAAAAAGTAATTATTTTATTTATTTAATAATTATTTAAATAAACATTTATTTCACCATTACGCACTTGAAGTATTTTAATGCACTTTATATACCCTATAGGTACACAGCACATCCTCACAACCTCAAAATAATTGTATAACATAGTTTAATTAATATGTAGCAAGCTATTGTACTGGTCCCTTCAATCATAGCAAAAATAATATATTATTCACTTCAGAAAAGTTTTAAAAAGCAAAAAGTGTACCAACTATAAGTTATACCAAAGTGTACATCATAAGATTTGTTTCGCGCCATGAAAGCGGAAGATAACACAAAACAACATAAAGCTCAACGAGCGTTTCGTTTTTGTAAAATTGCATTATACTGTTATATTTAAATGTTATGTTTTACAACGCGATTTAAGATTAATATCCAAATTACATATCCTTATGTACTACTTGGATTACTTAAATAATGTGACATTTTTCAAGTATTGTTCAAATCACGTAACTATTTTGATTTCTATTGATTTATTATGTTCAATTTTTTTTGTAATACCGTAACGTCGATATAGATGAATCGAAATCGAAATTTCAATATGGCGAGATAGTTTTATAAACAAAAAGTGTGAAACGGTGTAACACACAGCGCTTAATTGAAATAATTAATTAGACACAAATAGAAGTGAAAAATAAATAGAAGTATTCTGTGCAGAACACAGACTTTAACATAAAGCTAAACAAAAAACAATTGTGTCGTGTTATTTATTTTTATCTTTTACTGTAATTTATGCTTCGTTATTTGTCACTGACAATAATAAATATTTACAAAATGTGAAGTGCGCGAAATAATTACTATTTAGAGTAAGAAACGACCTGCGTCATTATTGGCCAGGAAAACCTCGCCATGAGGACAAATGTCGTATGCACAGGTCATATGAATCACAAGGTTAGAGGTTCATTAGCTACTAGAAGATAGCGTATTGAGTAGTGTCGTCGAATGCGCGCTGTTTCGGTTTTGGTAACAGGGAAGTAGCGTTGACTTGTCTGATAGGAATCCGGTAGTAGTGAGTAATCGATGAAATGATTGAGAGTGTATCACGTCGCGCATTTGGTAGTTCAAGTGGTACATACAACGTGCGCGCCTCTGAGCTGGCGCGAGAACGAAAACTTAACATCTTCAATGTCACTGTGCATTTTTTGGACGATACCCAGCAATCGTTTCAGATCGAGGTGAGTTTTGAAATATATTTAATGATTTCTTATATTTACGCGAACACTATACATGATTAAAACTACTTTTACGGATTTTATCGCGTTTATTTTTACTTTTTATTTACTTTTATTTTTAATTCCCGACGTTTCGGGCGCTTTCCAGAACCCATGGTCACGGGGGACTGAGATGACTGACGTCACCGATGTCATTGTTAAACCCGGAGTACCTTCAGCTTTTTTTAATTATTGTTTATGGTCCGATCTATGCAAAATGTACTGACTATGTCCTGAGGTCTTGCAGTGGTATGCTTGGGTTTAGTTTTAATTTTATTGATTATAGGATCCCAAGCAGGTGGTAGTACCCAGCCTCCTTCTCTATTGAAATTAGGATGTTTTTTAATTTCAATAGCCTCACGTAACATCCTTGGTAGGAATCGGTGTTCTTTCGCGAGGATTTGTGGTCTATCAAATCTGATGTAATGGTTGGGTCCGTCTAGGATATGATCACAAACGTATGATCACAACGTTCCGGGAAGTCTGCAGTTTTACAGTTTTTAAAACTCCGGGTTTAACAATGACATCGGGACGTCAGTCATCTCAGTCCCCCGTGACCATGGGTGCTGGAAAGCGCCCGAAACGTCGGGAATTAGAAATAAAAGTAAATAAAAAATAAACACGATAAAATCCGTAAAAGTAGTTTTAATCATATTAATTATTTTATAAGTAACCATTGAACTGTGGTCATAAAAAAATATTTATATTGCCCTATATTAATTTTGTAGAAAGTCAATATAAACAAAAACACAGTGTTAAACAAAAACTGATGAATTGTTTATTGTTTGTGTTCAATATTAATGTACTAAGTTGACAGATCAGTCCCCTTAAATTATTGGTAGGTACAAGGAAGCTGTAGACGCGGAGATAGGAGTAGACCTATGCTCCTCGCCGCGGCTTCGGCTTATTGATCACCTTCGGCGATCAGCTTCAGCTGCTACGGCTCACTCAGGGACTACTACGATTTGCTACGCAAGGGTGAAGGGACTGCACTTGCCGCAGTGCCGAAGCTGTTACAGAACTAAGTAACTCTGTGTCAATATTCCTATGTAAAAAGTAAGGTTGTGATTTTACAAAAAATATTATTACTCATAAACTAGACCATTTCCTCAAAGGGGAAGGGTAGAGGGGGCTTCCCCTGCACCCTCCCACTCCCACTACCATACTCGAGTACCGGATGTCTATAGTTTAACCCTACTGACATCTGGTACTTGCATACTGGTGTGGGATGGGGATAGGAGGAGAGGGTAAGTTTCGACCCCTACCCTTTCCCCATTGCAAGAAAGTATAGTTTATGAGTAATGATATTTTTTGTAAAATTAACCCCACTTCTTGTAAACAGAAATACTGACCCATAGTTACTTCCGCAACGGTTTCAGTGCTGCTGAAAGTGCAGCATCTTCACACTTGCATAGCAAATCAAGGGCACCCATGCTTACCTCCGCAGCTTTGGCTTATTAGGGTGACCAACCTCAGCCGCTATGACTTGCACAGGTGCATCTACAGTTTTACAGACAGGGGTAGGGCAAACAATACTTTGTGGAGTCAGGGTATGCTGATTTTGATTGTTTTAGTACAAATTCGACCTACCTTATCTTTAAAGTAATGTTGCCCTACAATCTACTGCGATAGTGAAAATAAAACAATGTACTTAATGTGAATTGTTATAATTTAGTTTTCTGACAAAACCTCTTGACTACTCTCCACAGCAACTCAGTTTGGTGTGTATGAATCCTATCTTCAGCCACAAATGGATTGTCTGAGTCCGAGTAATTAACTTTGTTATGGGTGTACCCATGTTAAAAAAGTTATTGACATATGTGCATTACGTTATATGCAAGTTTAGTGAATTTTTTTTTTGCATTCATAAATCCAAAAACAGTATTAAAGATTCATGCTTAACCCTGAAGCCCTGAACTGAAAACATAATTAAAATCAAGTACCGGATATTCTAGGTATTTCATAGTACTAAACTAAATTGACATATTTGCGTTTCCCTAAATGCAATTTTTACTGAAATTTATTTTTATTGTAATTAATTCAAAATGCATTTCTGACGTCCAAAAACAATGTAAAAGGATCAACCTTAACCCTTATAAGCTGAAAACGTAATTAAGGTGATGTGGGCGCCAAAAGCAGATTTTTCACACTCTATAGGTGTGCAGAAAAGCAATTTTTTGTCATTAAAAACTAAGAATCCACATTTTTTTTAAATATATTATGAAAGTTAAAGATTTTTCAGTTTCAAATTCATTCAATTTCATTTTTCAAGACATGACACATTTTGACTTGATAGAAAGTATCCTAATCAAAATCTACAATTTTAGGTACATCCACATATTATGATAACACAATTCCAGTGTGCCTTTTAAAATAAATTGAAAGTGTACTATACCTAATATGTTTGTATTTAAGGAACATTACTATATTATAGCACTATAACTGATATGATCTTCATTGTATTGGAAATGTATTGTTATTGCTTTTAGTCAGAATCGTAAATTAAATCTTCTACCCCACTCAAACTTTCATTGCTCGAAGAACATGATGTTTTGCCGTCGGAATTTTCTAGTGTAATTATAAATGAATCAGTGAAATTATCCACTTTTAGTTCCAGTTGAATATATTTTTCCTTAGGTCCTCACGTCTTTCTCCAAACGTCACTAAACATATTAAGAGTAATAGAATCTGCTTCTTTTCTAAATAATTCTTCCACAGTTTTTAAGTTAAACTTAACGATTTGTGATGCAACTTTCCCTTTAATTATACCCCACAGTAACTCTATTGGGTTGAGTTCTGGATGGTAGGCGCAATGCACTGTGTCCGTGATCTTGGAGGATTTTATCAAGTACAAATTGTACATAGTTTGGCTTATTTTTTTTAATAATATCATATAGCATAGGTTTTGTGTTTCTTTTGGGTTATCATATATTATATTTGTCCAACCAATCTAACATGTCACTTTTTCTTGAATTGTATGCAGGCACTGGATCCGATACGACGTTGTGGTACGATGCATTATCGACTACTAAAACTGACTGTGGTGGTAAATTTGGAATAAGTTTTTCTATATCTAATCCATTTCTGATAATTACCATCATTCATATTACTGTGATAATCTTCCTTTTGCTTTTTTGCTGGATAGATAAGCAAAGCTTCTGGAATAAATCCTTGTTCCAAGCAGGCATGAACTAACACTAGCATGTCGCCCTTGGAAATAGGTACTTTACAACCTTCACTCGTTTCGTCGGACTATGATCATGGCAACGTATCCGAGTTGTGTATGTAAGATTCATCCGTATATATTATAGGTCAGCCTTGTGATCCATATTCTTGCAGTTTCGAAAGATATAATGTTCTTTTGAGTCTAATGTGCCTTTTTTCAATAAGTAGTTTTTTATTATTTTGTGTCTTATTCCATCTGAAACCTAGCCTCCGAACGATCAAAGTTGATACTTTCTTTCAACACTTCCAATAACTTTTTTAATGTCGGAAATGTATGCTGAACTAGATGAAAGTTGTAGATAGTTCTCCTTATGACTTCTTGGTCAAAACTATCTACTGAAGATTTTTTTGCTAACCTTGGTTGCTTTTTACCCGGTGTTCTAAAAGTAACTTGAGGTACCAATGTTTTGGATGCTGATGGCTCTCCTTCTCCTAAGGTAGACTGTTGTGATGTTGATGCTTTAACAGACGCTATAACTTGATTGCGTACTTCACAAACAACTCGTTGAACACTTCTCTGAGAAACACCAGTCGCATCTGATGTCAAACCGTACAAATCTTTCATTAAACGATTTCCACCATCACTTTTTTTATTATGATAATGCATGAAATAGTTAAAAACGTTGTACACTATTTCACGAGATTGTCCTGTTAAAGTTTTTCCGGAACCAATTCTTTCAGAAGACATTTTATTCTAAACTCCAAATATGTGAATAATTAAACGCGCTGCGTGTCGATCACACGTGACTGACGCTAACGGTTGAATACCAAAAAGACCACGCTGTATTTATAAACAGTATCAAAAGCAAAACAATCGCTGTCCCCTTCACACTCATAAGCTCGATCGCGCAAGAGAGTGCGACGTCACGCCAAGGGCTTATTCACAGACACTACACAAGCGCAACGTGTAAATGTGTTGTACGTGCCAGCTTTGTTTAACTGACCTATACTGACTGAGATCATCAATCCATCTGCCTAGTGTGGAGACTAAGGCAAATTGTTCCATCATTAGGAGAGGCTCATGTCCCGGTTTGAATAATTGTACATTTCTGAAACTAAGTTGTATACTGCTGAACTTCTTGAAAATTTCACGGCTTGAATAATTACAATATTCCTGCCAACATGTAAAAATAGCCCATTGCAAACTAAAAAATTTGTACATCTGTATGCTGTCTTATATATATATTTATATATTAGGTCCTTACATATGAAATTGGCGTTTGGTACGGGAGGAATATAAAAACAATTAAAAAAAATATATTTAACAAATTAAAGTATGCACTGTTTGTTATCTTCATTGATCCCTTTACTAAAAAAACCATAGGGGTGAGAATTAATAAACTCTTTGAAGGCGGTTTGAACAACCGCATCGGAGTTGAATTTTTTCCTTGTAAGAAGTTGTCCAAATTTCAGAAAAAATGGTAATCTGTTGGAGCAAGGCCCGGGGAGTATGGTGGTCTGAAGGTCGAAATTTCCAGAACGAAAACGTTGAAACCAAAAAAGTACCGTGCTTTCTTTTGCGACACCAGTGCCATACACATCATTAATCCTTAGGAGCTGTTTCTGAAGCACTGGTGTCACGGAGAACTCGTACTCATAAATATACCGATATTTCATGTTTTCCATTGTGCGGTAATAAGCGACGCCAAAGAAAAAAATAATGAGGAAAAAACAAATGAATGACTGTTTTCAAAACTCAAATGTACCAGTTAAATGAATTTATGAATTTGAATTTGAAATTCTTATTCAAAGAGGAGATATTTCAGATCAAAGTGGTCAGTACAACATAAGGCTAATTTCATATGTAAGAACCCAATATATATCTGTGACCTGTTGCTAAAAGGGCTTAACTGCGTTTTTTAAGAAATAGAATTTTAAAACCATATTATTGAAAAAATGTTTATGCTAAAACATTACATTTACTAAACATATTACTCACATTACATTAATTTATTAATAGTCTTTCAAAAGATATTATGTAAAAAAGGTCAATGTAATTTGTACTTCTATACTGCTTAATAAAATAAAATATGTACTACTGTACAGTAATGCACTGTTTAATATAAACACACTTTGGCCCTTTTAGCACTGGGTCACAGATATATTATGTACAGTAATAGTTCGATTATCCGACAAGTACTATAATACGCCGTTTTTTGAACTGGAGAATGATTGTCTTGATTAAACTCTGTAATCTACTGACACTGAAAGTCTTCGATTCGATATTCCGCCGTCTTACCTCTCTTTCATGCGTAAGATGAACAGAATTCTATATTCCACCGCACCATACTAAGCAACCGTTGTTTAGTCTGCCCGGAATAAAGAATGTTAGTTAGACGGACAACTCATCAGACGAAGTCATGTTTCATGCTGTTAGCACTGTCAAATCTGAAGATGCCCTGAATAATGTAGATGTTTGTATAGGACCAAGAAAATGGATATAGTTGATATATAGTTGCAAATTTACGTAAAATGCATGAAGTTATCAAGAAGATATATTTTGCTAAAAACAAGCAAAATTAAACCCATTTAGTTCCAAATTTGAGTAATTATAATTTGAGTTAATATATAAATATACTACATTTTTTATTTTCAACTTGTTGTTCCTGTACATTATAATTTGCCGTTTTCAGTTTTCTGCCGATGCTTAGGATTTTATGGTGGCGGATTAGCGAGAGTATACTGTATATTATTTTTGTATAATATATGTGTGCAGGATGAGTTTAATTTTGTGCTGTTATAAATCTCATTTTTACAAATTAATTCAGTTTACATTGCGAAATATTTTTGAGACATTTTGATATTCAATTTATTTTTATTAGCAATCTATTTTTTAAAAATGTGATGCAAGTTGATATGAACATTGTTTTTCAGAAAAAAGCTAAAGGTAGTGTTCTCCTTGAACTAGTATTTCAACATTTGGAGCTTGTGGAAAAGGATTACTTTGGACTACAGTTTACAGAAAACGGATCACCTCCTAGTGCCACAAATATCGAGATAACGGTAACAAATATTTTAACAATATCATAAGATAGCTTAATTGGTTAAATTGTTTTAGCTAGACAACTGAAAGATTATTGCATTTTTATCAAATAATTCTATTTTTATCTACACATTACTCATCAGGCAATAACAATTAGTTCTTGTAGAACAAGGTCCTTAGTACTTAATTGCTCCTTTATTCTATCATCTTTATGACTCATCCATTTACTGGCTTAGTTGTTGTTTTTTAAGAGGGACACTCCTGTAAATAAAGTATTATTATCATATCTACTGTAGGAATGTTAAATTATTAGATATTAAGATAATTATATAAACTCTGTAATTTGTTATTTATTTATACATGGCAGTTTTAATGTTCTTTTAATTATAAAAAGGTACTGTGTTTTTAAAAATAATTCTAATTTTGTTGTTAGTCTATTTTGTTAACTTGAACTAAATAAAATGTGATTTAATACCTATTATTTATTCTTCCTTCAGCGTTGGTTAGACAGCAGTAAGTCTGTAAAAAAGCAAGTTGGTGCAAATGCACAATTTTGGCTGGCTGTTCGCTTCTATCCACCGGAACCTAGTCGCCTATCTGAAGAGTTTACACGATATCTACTCTGTCTTCAGCTACGGAAATTACTCCTTGATGGAAGGATGACAGCACCTAAAAACACAGCCTTATTGCTTGCTTCTTTTACAGTACAAGGTCAGTGTTTTCTAAAGTATTATGTATGAAAATTTTACATAAAAGATTATACAATTACTTATATATAACTTGCTAGAGTGTCTTTATAATAACAACTAGACTGTCAATGCCACCCACCAGGGTGCTACTAAGCAGAGCAACTATGGCTAAAATATCCCTTATGAGACCATCTATGGGGAAGCCTACGTCTAGCAGTTGATTTTGATAGGCTTCTAATAAATAAATGAATTAGTGAATGAATGAGCTTGCTAGAGTCAAACAATTTTCTTTATTAAACAGAAGACAAACAAAGATAGAGGGGGTGATCCAAAAGTAACGATAATGAGTGTTAAACATGTTGATTATAGTTAAAAAAATAATTTATTTTTCAACATAGTCTCCTAATAATCAATCTCCTAATCAATCAATGCATTTAGTCCATTTTTTCTAAATATTAAAATTCCCTTACCCAGATTTCCCTTTGAAAAAAAATTTTTATCTTGACCCACCAAAAGAGCCTCAACAGTGTCCATCACTTCCCTATTGTCTTCAAATATCTTGCCTTGAAGGCAGGTGTTCCTTGAGCCGAGGAAATAGATAAAAGTCCCTAGGGGCTAGATATGGCGAATAGTTCGAGCAGAGTCCCCCAATGTTTCCACCAAGTCGCTGTGTGTATGTCTGTGGTAGACATTTTTTTTAAACAGGTACTTGATGACAGCTCTAATTTCATTTTTATCCATTTTGATGTTATCTTTTTGATGATTTGTATTCAAATAAATATAAATCGTGGGAATCGTAGCCTATTTATATAATTTTTTATGCTCATCTAGTGACTACATAAGCAAAAAAATTTTTTTTGCATTTGTAAATGCATTGGAAATAATTGATAATCATTACTTTTGCATTACTCCTCGTACATGCTACCTGATGGTAAGTGGTTACTACATCCCATACACACCCGCATCCAACTGTTGTCACTTCTGTGGTTTGACTTTACCTCACCGCCTGTAATTGTAATAACTCTCTATACCCCTTAGACAGAAACTCAGCGTTGCAGGCACTTCTATTTGATGATAGAAATATGTAATAAATTGGTACCTACCCTGATGGACTCCTAAGAGTAGAGAAGTTTTACCACAAATAAGTAGAGAGTGTGTTTAATGGTGCTGTGAGAATCTACTACTCCATAAGTCTCATAAATATCATCTCATAAGTGTAAGAGGCAACAGAGGGAAATGGAGGAAACAGATGGGTAATAGCATTTTCCTGATGACAACTAAAAATAATAAAATCCCGTGTCCCTTGTATATGCTGCCCACTGTGGAATTCAATTTTTTATGTTTCGAAAACGGCACTTAAAATTAGTTAAATAAGTACTATAAAATGCGCTCGCGTCAACTACATGTACTGTCTATCAGACTCGGTGAAGTGTGATAGCACAAGGTCGCCCCGCCCAGCCGCTGCCTCTAGTGCCGCCACAGTTGCTCTGCACAAATACATTCGTTTCCTAACTGTAAAGAAGTCTTAACTTATTTTTTTTTAAAAACGTTACCTCCACACTAGGATTTTCTTCTGTATCGTGGGGGCAGTTTACAAACATAAATTTCACAAGGACAAACATCCAGACCCGGAACAATTAATTGTAAGCCATGCAAATATTTGTTCCTTGCGGGATTCGAACCCGCGGCCCTTAGGTCTGTAAGTCATTGCTAAGTCACGGTGCCACGGAGCCGTTAACTGTGGGCGCAGGACTAACAGCTTTTCTGAGGTACTTGGGTGAAACAACATTAACTTTCTGATTCTGGGCTGCTATTACGGTTTTTCTTGACTGAAAACCTAAATAATTGATTCTTGGCTTACACAGGGTTCGTACCTGGGATCCATTATCTCAGTTGCGCTTACGACCTTTAGATCTACAACTATCGTGTAGAGGCGGCATAAGAGAAAACACAACCCTTGGGTGTCGTAAAAGGTGACAAAGGGAAACTAAATAAAAATAAATAACAATGGTAGTCTACCCCCATGTTTGTCAACAAGCGTTGCAACTATAGTAAACGAGGTAATCTGGGGGGGAGGGGAGGTTTATGTCTAGCAATGGACTTCTAATAGACTGTAAATAAATGAATATCGATGGATGCAGGCAGCTCAGGACCGTGCCTGGTGGCATTCCTTGGGAGAGTCATATGTTCAGCAGTGGACTTGCGAAGGGCTGTAATGATGATGGTGAAATGAATGACTGAACGATTGAATGTGGTAAGTGTGGACATGTAAGATGATCGGTGCACGTGGCGGTGCAGCGGAGCTGGGCGACTACGCGGCGGCGGCGGCGGAGGGCGGTGCGGGCTACGCGAGCTACGCGGCGGCGCTGCGGCTGGTGGCGCGCGCGGCGGCCGACGACGAGCGGCGCGTGCGCGAGCTGCACAAGCTGCACCGCGGCCAGGCGCCCGCCGACGCGGACGCCAACTTCCTCGAGCACGCCAAGCGCCTCGACTGCTACGGCGTCGACTCGCATCCCGCCAAGGTACATTCACCGCGTGCCGCACGTGCCTCTCACTTTATCTCATTTACGCGGTAGAGTCCTGCTGCAGCTATATATTATGGTTGCAGCACAAATGGACCGGCTCGACCGAGGCAAGAATACGCTCTCAGAATACCACCGTAAAATAACAGCTCAATGCTGCTGTGTTTCGTATGATGAGTGTAGAGAACTGGAGACCCTTTTTATTGGAGCTACAGCATCCACTTACCTTCGGGTGGATTGTGTTCTCGTTTATTCTATATATAAAAAATAACAGTCTGACAAAGTAGTTGCATTTTTAAAGTAATCTATAACTATAATTTTTTTTATAGTAAAATCTTATATCCTACTGGAAGATTGTGAATTGTTAATACATACTGTTACTTTATCGTAGTTCTTTATTTTTTTTGAAGTGAAAGCTTCTTTAGCGGCGTTGTACATTTTTTTGTAATGGGTAAAAAATGTTAAACTCGCGTCAGGAGCCGGCGCGGCGTAGGAGAGGAAGTATCCCCTACCTATAATATAAGATATCTTTCTACGGCGCGGCGAAAATGTATGCCTGCGCCTGCTGTGTCGTTTAGGCGGCGCAGGGCGCTTACGCGAATGTTCGTGTGTAATAATTAAAGCAATTCGTGCAAAATTATTCCCTAATCATTCCAAAATATAGTTATATTATTATAATAATAGTTATATTATTTATTTAACTTATTGACCACTTCTAAAATATTTTATTTCAGGACTATAATGGGAAAGATATATTCATTGGTGTAACATCAATTGGTATAGTCGTATTCCAAAACAACATCCGCGTTAACACATTCTCTTGGAGTAAGATCGTCAAGATATCCTTCAAGAAGAAACAGTTCTTTATACAATTAAAGCGAGAACCTGTGAGTATGAAAGTAGTATTAACATATTTGCTATTAGATTTCCAAGTAAACTTGTCTCTTAGTTGAGTAATAATTTTTAAATAAATAAATCTAATCTCTAAATAGCAATGGGCTGGACATATAGCTCGAAAATACGATAACCGATGGGGGAGAAAGGTTGTCAAGAAACAGCTTCGTACTAGTAAGCGAAGTGTAGGCAGCCCCCTCACTAGATGGAGTGTTGAACTAGTAAGACATGCAGGAAGTCGATGGATGCAGGTGTCTCAGGATTGTACTTTGTGGCATTCCTTGGGGTAGGCCTATGTTCAGCAGTGGAATTGTGAAGAGCTGTAATAATGATGATGGTGAATCTGACAAGAGAATCCGTCACCCCATTCCATCTGTCAGAGAACTATGAGAAACACCAGAAAATAATATGGCCTCCGATAAAAGGGTGATATGTATGTTTCGATATACATACGAGGTCTGTTCAAAAAGTATCGTGAATTTTGAATTTCCGCGGGCTAAGTATATTTGATTTTTGATTTTTTGTTGCGTTATGTTGGTACTATGTGTACTGTGGCAGGGTCGGCTATTTTAAATGTTTAGTTAATTTTTTACAGCTGTTTTGCTTGGATGTGTTTTGGCTCGTCTTCGATTTTTGCCTATTCCAAAAAATGGATTAAAGAATCTGTATTAAATTTTGTGTGAAAAACAAAATAAAGTGCGCGGACGCATTCCTAATGTTGACTGTGTGATATGGTGAAGCTACTTTGGACCAAAGCAACGTTTATCGGTGGTACAAAATGTTCTCAGAGGGCCGAGAAGATGTGAACGACGAACGGCGTGCCGGACCCCCGAGCACGTCACCAACAGACGATAACATTGATAAAGTGAAGAAAATATTATGGGTCAATCGTCGAACTACCGTTATAGAAGTTGCTGAGGCCCTAAACATATAGATTGGCTCGTGCAATTCGATTATAATTAATGATTTGGGCATGAGTCGGGTTGCCGCGAAATTCGTGCAAAAATTGCTCAATTTCGACCAAAAACATCATCGCGTTAACATTGCTCAGGAGATGTTGGATTCGGTCCGTGACGACTCAAATGTGCTCCAGAGGGTCATAATTGGTGACGAATCATGGGTTTAGGGTTATGACGTGGAAACCAAAGCTCAATTATCCCAATGGAAGCTGCCGCATGAGCCAAGACCGAAAAAAGCGTGCCAAATGCGGTCGGACGTGAAGGTTTTGCGCGCAGTTTTCTTTAATTATAGGGGAGTGGTGCATCATTAGTTATTGCCATAGGGTAGTACAGTCAATAATGCAAGTTATGCGCAATTTGCGCGTAGCAATCCGCCAGAAACGCCTGGATTTGTGGAAGATCAAAAACTGGCTTTTGCACCATGATAACGCCCCTGCTCACACATCGTTGCTTGTGCGCGAATATTTATCCAAAAACAACACAGTAATGGTCCCACAGCCACCGTATTCCCCAGACCTGGCCCCCTGTGACTTTTTCCTGTTCCCAAAACTGAAGAGGCCCATGAAAGGACGACGCTACGCCACGATTGAGGAGATAAAGACGGCATCGAAGGAGGAGCTGAAGGAGATTACGAAAAATGATTTTTTTAAGTGCTTCAAGGATTGGAAAAAACGTCGGCATAAGTGCATTATATCCGAGGGGGATTACTTTGAAGGAGACAAAATATATATTCATGAATAACTAAATACTTTTTGAAAAAACACAAAATTCGCGATACTTTTTGAACAGACTGTGTATGCTAGCCGTGATTCTACTAGATCAGTGTTCCGCAAAGTGTGTACCGCGGCACACTGGTGTACCGTGATCATTAGTTGGTGTGCCGTGGAAAAATAAGGTTATCTTATAAAATTATTTTTAGTAAGTAAGTAAGGGTAAGTAAAATACCTACACAAAAAACTGGAGCGCACGAGCGAGGCGTTTTGTTTCGTTCATTTAATTCTGTGGTTTCGTCAGGCGCAGGCGGCGGCGGCCGGCGCGTCGCGGGAGGCGGGGACGGAGGCTCCCCGCCCCGCTACCCGAACTTTCTGGCTCACCAGTCTGTCAGTATGAGTACGAGTGCACCGTTTAACCGCACGCTTTTGTTTCGTCGCGTATTATTATGCTTATTATTCTAAGCGTAAAATAAATATTAAAATAATGGATAAATTCATTAAACGTAGTGTAAGTTTGTCAGGTGAAAGTAACGAAGAAGAAAAAGAGTCAATGAAAAAGAAACCCAAAATTGTTCATCGAAAATATGACGAAAGGTACATAAATACGGTTTTACATATTGCGGAGACGAATCTTGTCCTACCCCAAAATGTCTTGTTTGCGGAGAAACGTTGGGTAATAATTCGATGGTGCCCAGTAAACTAATACGACATTTAACTACTAAACACCCATCAGTAGCCCAAAAAGACAAAACGTATTTTCAACGTTTGAAGGACCAATCGAAGAAGCAGGTAAATCTCACGAGTTCGTCTTTCAAAACCTCAGACATAGCACAAAAAGCAAGTTACGTAATCACTAATATGTTAGTTAAAGCTAAAAAGCCGCACTCTCTTGCTGAAACTGTAGTTTTACCTGTCTGCAAAGAAATTGTTAAGATAATGTTTAGCCAAGAAGCTGCTAAAGAAATTGAAAAAATACCTGCATCGGCAGAAACGATTTCACGCCGAATCAATGACATATCTAATGACATTAAATCGACGTTGATTGAAAAATTAAGAGTTAGTGGAGTTTTTGCGCTACAAGTTGATGAGTCCACTGACATCAGTGGTCACGCGCATCTCAACTCAAATGTTAGATACATTGGTACTATACTAAGGTTGCTGAAAAAAATCCTAATGGTCAAAAACAGCATTGTTTTTACATAGGGGAAGCTCTTATGACGAAGTCTATGCCTGACGTTCTATTGCGCGTTCTTCAAGAAATTATCAAAATCGTCAATTACATCAAGTCGCGACCGCTGAACTCTCGTATTTTTAATGCACTGTGTCATGAAATGGGGACAGATCATCAGTCGCTTTTGTTTCATACACAGGTACGATGGCTTTCTCGCGGCAAAGTACTTTCCCGAATTTATGAGTTGGAAAATGAGACTGAGATGTTCTTGCAAACCCAGGGTTCAGATTATGCACATTTATTTAAAAAAGAAGAATGGCTAGCAAAACTTGCATATCTGACGGATATATTTGCTCACTTAAATGAGCTCAATAGAAAAATGCAAGGCAGAAATTCCAATATTTTGACATCGTCGGATAAAATCGAAAGCTTTCGCACTAAATTGGAACTATGGATCAGTCTCGCTACGAATGGTAATAATGAAATGTTCCCAAATGTCATTGCAGCTGACATAGAACAAAAGGTGCAGGCTTTGATTGTCAAACACTTAAAGCTTCTTGCAGAGAAAATGAATTTCTATTTCCCTAAGCGTGATCTGTAACCTATGGACTGGGTTCGAAATTCATTCTCCGAGAACATTCCTTTCGGCCACTTACCAATAAATGAGCAGGAAGAACTGATGTAAGTGAGAACGGATCGCACATTAAAATTAAAATTTTCTGAAACTGATTTATAACATTTTTGGCTATGTGTGAAAAAATAGTATCCTCTGCTTTCTAAGCATGCTATTGCAATACTTTTACCGTTTGCAACAACCTATTTGAGTGAATTAGGATTTTCGACTCGTACCACGATAAAAACCAAAAAAAGGAAACGCCTCAGGACGATCAACGAAGAAATGAGAGCAGCCTTGTCAGCGATAACTCCAAATTTAGACCGTCTGTGCTCAATTAAACAGTCTCATGTTTCGCATTAAATAAATTTCCTGAAATTTAAAGTTTAGGTTTGTTGATTAGTTAAAAACTGTTTTTTAATTTGTGGTGTACCTCAAATTTTTTTCGTTTTCCTAGGTGTACCTTGAACAGCAAAAGTTTGCGGAACACTGTACTAGATACTATTTCTACAATTGACATATTATTCAGCAGTGGATTTTTACGGGCCCATTAAGAAAAAGAAAGTTAGACTAGAGTTTGTTTGATTGATTCCTGTTATATGTTTATAAACGAGGCTGCACCAGTTGTTGTTGTCTTTGGTTAGATTGCAGTTACCTTTCATTCAAGTAACAAATCCTTTTAAGCAAAGGAAACGAGATTGTATATTATGTAGATTGTATGTTGCAATTGGCGAAAACAAAAAAAAAACGAGTGGAATTATAAAGATTTTTTTTTTCAATTTTTGTTCTAAAATTGAACACAAGGAAAAGCGTTTAAGGTGGCCCTAGTCGATGGCACGAACTAAGTGGTGGGCGGGGTTACAATGCATGCTATCTCAGTCGACATCACCTGCGAAAGCGAAAGGCATGATGATTTACAACAAAACGAGCGCGAAATTTTATAAACAGACCTTTGGGAATCTGGATATCATGAAAAATCTATTTAATGTATCTGTTAAAAATAAAATTATTTGCACTTTTGGATACCTAATCTATCCCTGTATGGTAACTGTTTTGTAATTTTCGTTCTTCTTATGGTATTTATTTCCACCCAAAGATGTGTTAAAATTTGTACTTTTTAATATATTATTTTTTTTACTTTTTTGTTTCCGTACAGGGCTAGATAATAATGAGACAAATTTAAATCTTTTTTTTTTATTTTTAACGTACATCATCATACGGTGGAGTTATCGCCAGACTACGTTTGTATGGAAGAATGAGTGACTAGTGTACCCTTAATGGGGGCCATACACTTTCAGACCTTCAGTTTTATCTGTACTATAAAACTGTACAGTCTATCTGTGCAGATAAATCGTACGTCCCTTAGCAGCTGCACAGTTTATTCATTTCGTTCCACGGCGGCATCGATAGACGATGCATTAGTTTTTGTTGCATTATTGTTGATAAAAAAAACAAGAGGCAGAAAAATAAATCAGGAGGCGAAAAAATCGTAGGACCTCTTTTTTATATGAAAAGGTGACAAGCGAGCACACAGTCCACCTGATGGTAAGTGGTTGTTGTGGTCCATAAACATCTACATCTATCCTCGTTTGCGAATCATAATGCAGATGCGTTGTCAGCCTTGAGGACTAAGATGAAATGCCTCTTTTCCAGTAAAAAGGGTCTCCGGTTCTCTACACTCACCATACGAAACACAGCAGCATTAAGCTGCTATTTGACGCTGGTATTCTGTGAGAGCGTGGTCCTTCTCCGGTCGAGGCGACCCATTCGTGCTACAAATATACAATTAATATAGCTGCAGCATGGCTCTACCACGTTAAAACATGTAAAGATTGGCTACTGAAAAGAGAAGCTCTTTCTCATGTAAATTTGTTAAAGGAATTAAATACGTCTCCAAGAGACTGGCATAATTTTTTAATTGTTTAGAATCGACAGTGATACTTCCTTTTTTTGTTGTGTATAGTAACGTTAATAATCGAAATGTAAAACACTTATTAGAAACGGTGAAAACTGAACGCATGGCACACACGTTATGGTTAGATTCGGCACAGTTTCCTCCGATTCCGTGTTATCTATTCAAATTTTCATACTACTTCGTTCGACGGTACAGTTTTAAAAAATTGTAAAAATTAAACAGTTTAACACACACGTTTCGATAATCGGTGCAGTTTAAACGGTACAGTGCGATCGTAACGATTTCTCGTAGCGTGTGTATGGGTAGCCCATAACTTAACCTCTTACAAGTGGAATTAATGTTTTTGTCATTTAATAGTTTTGATGAAATGTATAATTAAGGGAACAAAAATTGTTGATATAAAGTGAATGTAACATTTTCAGTCGGAGAGCTACGACACGGTGTTGGGGTTCAACATGCGGTCGGGGCGGGCCGCTAAAGCGCTGTGGCGCTGCAGCGTGGAGCGGCACGGCTTCTTCAGGCTGCGCGCGCCGCGGCGAGACCGCTGCTGGGAGCGCTGGGCGCGCTGGCCGGGCTGGCGGCGCCGCGTCTCGCGCGCACCGAGACGCAAGCGCTTGAGGCCGCTCGGCGCGACCGCTCCACCAACAGGACCTTCGTCAGGTATCCTCATTGTCAACAAGTGGCCGCTTACTGCTTCTACTTCGATCGTAATTCACTTTCAACTGTATATTAGTACATTAAACAGATATCTAATATACAAAATGTAAAATAAACGCTTTTTTTCTCTATGAAATATACTCCACAGACTAGTGAGTCATGAAAAAGGAACCAACTGAATAATGAAAAAGAAATATTTGAAATCACACAAAATTCATAGTTTCTTCAGTTAATCTCGCAGTAATTATTTGTTCCCAACATTTTTAAATTCATTGGCGACAATATCACCTCTTTGTTAAATTGTAGTGATTACATTCTCTTTTATCTGTACAACTGTTTGACCACAGATCATTATATGCTTAACACATTGATGGAAGTCTATAGTTTGACATTGACACTAAAAACCTAAACAAACGAAAGATGTGCCAGATTAATAAATGTTTGACACTGGCAATATAAACGTGAACAAATAATGTTATATTTTATTATATATCATGTTTTTAATTGAAAACAATAACAAAATTTTAGATTTCTGAATTTTCCTCGCTATATTAACTTTAACTATGTCAACTCTCAAACATCTTCGGGCATGCCACTACCATCTCGAGACGGCGAGGCCGGCTCTGCTCTTTCTGACCGAGACGCAGGTGTCCTCTCCGGCTGATGTCTCGTATCTCTCCTACCCGGGGTACAAACTGGAACACTACTTTGTGCCTCGGGCTGGAGTTTGCGTTTACGTCAGAGAGGGCATCTGTTCTCGACGCCTCGGCAGACTTGAAGGTTCGGACCTGCCCATCCTTTGGCTACGCGTAGACAGCGACGACCATCCGCGCGTCTACGGGTGCCTCTATAGGTCCCATAGCGGTAATGCCGAAACAGACCGACTTTTCGACCACGTCCAAATGGCTACAGATTCGTTGCTACAGCAGATCCCCTCCGCAGAGATCGTGATCCTCGGCGACTTCAACGCCCATCACGCCGAATGGCTTGGTTCACGTTTAACCGATCATGCGGGGAGATCTGTTCATGATTTTGCCTTGGCATATGGTCTGATACAACTGGTTACTTCGCCTACGCGGATTCCAGATGTGGAGGATCATGCACCTTCCCTGTTCTGCTGACCTCTCACCCGGACAGATATCAGATTTCCGTCGACGCCTCTTTAGTCTCCTCGGACCATTGTCTTGTTCGGAGTGTGGTGCCACTCACGCTGAAATCGCAATTGCAATCTGCAGGCTGCCGCCGTGTTTGGCACTATAGGTCAGCCGATTGGGATGGGATGCGGTCTTTCTTTGCATCCTACCCTTGGGGGCGGGTTTGCTTCTCGCCGGACGATCCCAACGTTGTTGCGGATTCTGTCACTGATGTGGTACTTCAGGGTACGGAACTTTTTATTCCTTCCTCTGTGGTGTCCATTGGAGGCAAGTCTCAGCCATGGTTTGGTCGCTCCTGTAAAATAGCATCATGCTATAAGCAGGAGTGCTACCGAGCCTGGGCTGACGCATCAGCGTCCCGTGATGTAAACACCAGAGCTCTAAAAAAGAAGTATAATTCCGCCTCTAGATCCTTCAAAAGAGTCATTGCCAAGGCAAAGTCAGAGTCAGAGTCTTCTGGAACCCGTGCATTCTGGTCTCTCGCCAAGGCTGTCGAGCGGAATTTCTGTCAGCCATCTTTTCCATCTCTGTACAGGGAGGACGACTCACTGGCCCATACCGCAAAGGAGAAAGCCGATCTTCTAGGCTCTTTCTTTGCGTCCAACTAGACTCTCGATGACGGGGGGAGTACGCCGCCGACCATCCCGCGATGTGAGTGCTCCATGCCGGAAGTGCAGTTCACACAGCGCTCGGTTCGCAAAGCACTCCTCTCCCTGGACATCCACAAGTCGAGTGGGCCTGACGGAATCCCCCCAATTGTGCTGAGGACGTGTGCTTCAGAGTTGGCACCGGTTTTAACGCGTCTTTTCCGGTACTCCTACTCCCTAGGCGTAGTCCCAAAATCATGGAAGACGGCTTTCGTCCACCCGATCCCTAAAAAAGGCGACCGCTCAGACCCGTTAAACTACCGGCCTATCGCCATCACCTCCTTGTTCTCCAAAACAATGGAGTCCATTGTAAACTGCCAGCTCATGAGGTACCTTGAGGATCACCAGCTGATTAGTGACCGCCAATATGGTTTTCGCCGTGGTCGGTCAGCTGGTGATCTTCTGGTCTACCTAACTCACAGATGGGCGGAGGCAGTAGAGTCCAAGGGGGAGGCATTGGCCGTTACTTTGGACATTGCGAAAGCCTTCGATCGGCTTTGGCACAAAGCGCTTCTTTCGAAGCTCCCTTCCTATGGGCTTCCCGAGAAATTGTGCGATTGGATCACCAGCTTTCTTGCAGATCGGGGCATCAAGGTCGTTGTAGACGGTGCAAGCTCCGATTGCAAGCCTATTAATGCTGGTGTTCCACAGGGCTGCGTGCTATCGCCAACGCTGTTTCTTCTGCATATCAATGATATGTTGCGAACCCGTAACATTCATTGCTATGCAGATGACAGCATTTGTGATGCTCTTTACACCGGCCGAGCCAATATTTCTCGGGAAAACGTGGTCACTTGGAAGAGAAGGCCAAATTGGCCTCTAAAAAGCTTGGTGCTCAGCAGAGCGGGACAGTATTTCATGCCGGCACACCGCCTGCAACTTTACAAGGCGCAGGTTCGGCCGCACATGGAATACTGTTCCCATCTCTGGGCTGGGGCTCCCCAGTACCAGCTCCTTCCACTTGACCGCATCCAGCGCAGAGCGGCTCGAATCGTTGACGACCGAGTGTTTTCCGATCGGCTCCATTCACTGGCACTGCGAAGAGATGTTGCATCTCTCTGCATTTTCTTTCGCATATACCATGGAGAGTGCTCTGAGGAATTGTTCGTATTAATCCCAGCCGCCAAATTTCGTGAACGCACTACGCGGCAAACTTCGCGATACCATCCACATCATCTGGATGCTTGGCGGTCCACCACTGTACGTTTCAAGAGGAGTTTTCTTCCGCGTACAACCTCTCTGTGGAATAGTTTACCACCAGCGATTTTTCCGGACCGATACGACCTGGGGACCTTCAAGAAAAGAGCGTACTCCTTTCTAAAGGGCCGGCAACGCACCTGCAATTCCCCTGGTGTTGCGGTTCATCATGGGCGGCGGTAGTCACTTAACATCAGGTGAGCCGCATGCTCGTTTGCCCCCTCTTCTATAAAAAAAAATGCAATAAGCTTCAAAAGGACCATAAAGTTTTCTTTTTACTTATTAATATATAGTTGTCTTCATTATAGATGTACATAGATGCCTTTACACCTATAACTATGTACACATATGCACCTATAACTATGTTGTTGGCTGAAAATATGTGAATGCCTGTCCTTACAATAAGTTGAGGATACAGATGTTTTAAAACCGCATTAAATGATGTATGGACACGTTGTACGCAGACGCAGCAGTTCTCGCACTCGGGAGCGTTCTGTGGGCGCTAGCACGGGCTCCAACGTGTGCGTGACGTCATCACCCGCGCTCACTGTGAACGGCGCGCGCGGTTCCCGTGTTACGCACGACGAGCCGCCGCCGCGTCCCGCCTGGGGAGACGCACCGCCGCCAGACGAAGAGTGAGCCTTATTATTTTCATTTCAAAGGTTTTTTTTTGAAGTGAAAACTTCTTTAGCGGCGTTGTACACTTTTTTGTAATGGGTAAAAAATGTTAAACTCGCGTTAGGACACGTGACCCTGATCGAAAATTCGTAAGACCGGTTGAGAGAGAGAGACAGCCGGCGCGGCGTAGGCGAGGAAGTATCCCCCTCTCTTACTACGGCGTGGCGAAAATGTATGCCTGCGCCTGCTGTTTCGTTTAGGCGGCGCAGGGCGCTTGCGCGAATGTTCGTGTGTGATAATTAAAGAAATTCGTGCAAAATTATTCTCTAATAATTCCAAAATATCAAAAATGCGCAACGTTAATATTCAAGTTTTCACTTCTGCCGGCACTCCTGGAGTGCAACCCGTTGTTTTTTAAAACTGGTGTATATCTATATTATATTCAATAAAAATGTAATAAAAAGGGTTATTACAATATAAAAATAATGGTCATGAATAGATCGTTAATAATAACCCCTGGGAGTGAGGTGATTGCTTCCGAGCTGTTTCTTAAATAAGTTTTATTAGTTAATTGTAGAACCTGTATTTTTTTTTGTAAAATTTTACTTTGAAAAATAAATCCCGCTGGGTTTCTTGCTGGTTCTTACCAAGACAGAGGTATTTTCCGAACCAGTGGTAAAAATATAAAATTACTTCCAAGAACCATTACTTGAAAACTATATTGAATAATTTTTTTTTATTATATCACTTAACTATTTTTTACACAGTATGAGTGACAAATGAGCCCACAGACCACTGATGTTAAGTGGATCCTGTGACCCTTAGACATCTACATCTATCCTGGATTAAGAATCAAAATGCAGATGTGTTACCATCTGTGGGAACTAAGATGGAATGCCTAGTTTCCAATTAAAACGATCTCCCGTTCTCTACACTGATCATACGAAACAAAACAGCATTAAACTGTTATGGATCGGTCGAGCCGACCCATACCATAACCATACTATAGCCGCATCATGGTTCTACCACGTAAAACTTCGTTCAGATCGGGCGGGTTCCTGGAGCGGGCGCTGCGCGTGCCCTTATCGTACGCGGACGAGTCGGAGTCGTCGGAGAGCGCGGAGTGCGGTGGTGAGGTGCCGGTGCGGCTGGCGGCCGGCGCCGACGGACGCTTCGGCTTCAACGTGCGCGGTGGCGGCGGAGCGCCAGTGCTCGTGTCGCGCGTCGCGCCGCGCGCACGCTCCACGCTGCAGGAGGGCGATCAGGTGAGTGTGCCCCACGTTGCAGGAGGGCGATCAGGTGAGTGTGCCCCGCGTTGCAGGGAGCGACCAGGTGATTGTGCTCCGCGTTGCAGGGAGCGACGAGGTGATTGTGCTTCGCGTTGCAGGGAGCGGCCAAGTGTGTGTGCTTAGCGTTGCAGGGAGCGGCCAAGTGAGTGTGCCCCGCGTTGCAGGGAGCGACCAGGTGAGTGTGCCCCGCGTTGCAGGGAGCGGCCAAGTGAGTGTGCCCTGCGTTGCAGGGAACGACCAGATGAGTGTGCTCTGCGTTGCAGGGAGTGACCAAGTGAGTGTGCTCTGCGTTGCAGGGAGCAACCAGGTGAGTGTGCCCCGCGTTGCAGGGACAGACCAAGTAAGTGTGCCCCGCGTTGCAGGGGGCGACCATGTGGCCAGTGTGCCCCGCGTTGCAGGGAGCGACTAGGTGAGTGGGCACCGCTCTGCAAGAGAATGACGCGATGAATGCGCACAACGCTACAGTACGGCCACCAGGTGAGTGTGCTATATAACGAGTTGCAACGCGTGTAGATAAACAGACTCGTCTTGTATCCCGACGCGCTTTTATAAGAGAAATAGGGGCAGGTAGTAATGGTAAAACTGCGTAATGAGCGGAAAGAATGTAATTTTTATTTACCTTTTATATATGCCCATTTTGTAGAGAGGGTTTGGCCAAATGGCATCCATGAATAGAACATGCCATAGGCATTAAAGTTGACATTCTTAATCTAAATTTAAATCTTAAGATTGGTAAATTTTTAAACATGTCTAGTAGTCTAAAAATTGAACTGATGGATAAATATATTAGACTAATAACAATATATATTATAGTTTTCATTCCATTCCAGTTTCATTGTTATTCATAATTTAAAAAAAATAACTGATTATGGCCTAAGGAAAATGTAAGGCGATTCAATTACTACTCAGGATTATCATGGTATCGGTTACAGAGTCTATCATAGAAACGAAAATCATCGAGAAATAAAGTATAATAATGGAGGAAAAATCACCTGTCTCAATATTTGCAAGAGCACAAACTTTAAAAAAGTATTTTTATATAATTGGTATTGTTATTTAACGTCAATTCCTTTTTAAATCAAAAGCAATAGGCAAAACGCCATACTGCCTAGTGAAAAAATTTTTATTTTTAAAGAAAACATATCAGAAGCGGAAACACTAGAAAAAAAGATATTTAAAAGACGGTTAATCCATCTTTTCGCGTATTGATTTTTATGTAAGATTTGTCACCCAATTTTTGAAAAGATTGACATTGTGAGAACAAATGATAAACAATGTCTCTTTCTGTTTTGGCTGAAGGCCATGTAGCCAATGCTACAATAAATTTCTTATGTTTTTGTCTGTGTTTTTCTTATCATCTTAATTTTTTCGCAGTTTTAGTAATCAATAAGCTATTGTAATAATATTTTAGTCATTAGCCATTATTGTTTTTTTTGCATTTATATATATATATATATATATATATATATATATATATATATATATATATATATATACATATACCAAGTAAGGGCATATAACCCTTTTATAATATTATAATTTTTTATAACTATGCTGCTTTAATACTTCTTTTTTGGTTTAATTTTAGGTGATATCAATAAACGACCACGATGTGGAGGAAATGACTCATGATGAAATAGTGCAGTTGATAAGAAATACAAAAGGAGTTCTTACATTGGTTGTTAGACCTAATGGTGAGTTGGTATATTGTATATATTTTTAAGTAAATAATTTTTGTATTATATTTCTTGAATAAATCAAACAAATTGGCATAATAAACTCGTCTAAATACAATCTACATGTCACGTATCACTTGCTGTTTATTGATTTGCTTATGTTCAACAGCGGTTTACTCGGCGGAGGAGAGTGCGGGCAGCGAGGAGCCGGCGGTGTGCTTCGTGCCGCTGGGGGGCGCGGGGGGCGCGGGCGGTGAGGTGGTGGGGGGGCGCAGGGGGCGCGGGCGAGCCGGCGCAGTCGCTGCTGCTGCTGGGCGACGGGCTGGCGTCCGGCGCCGCGCTGCGTCAGTACGACGCGCTGCTGCGCCGCCTCGACCTGCCCACCACTGCTGCGCGACGCGCGTGCAACGTCGCCAAGAACCGCTACAGGGACATCGCGCCCTGTGAGTATGAGCTGCGCGACATCCCGCTACGGTTATATAAACGTCGCTGAAACAAATTCAAGGACATCGCGCCGTGTGAGGATGGTGTGCCCGAAACTGCGGCGACGGTCATGTAAAGTCGCAGACAAATCGCGCCGTGTATGATATAATCAGCCAGACACTGACGCGCACTACGAACTTCATTTAGTCGCATTACTGAATACTTCATATTCATTGCATCTTGATGCACAGACATGTTTAATTTTTTTAGAATAATTATTATATCATTTAATTTGTTTAAAAAAATAGTCACTTAAAAAATTGTAGCGATACTTCCAGAATTTACGTCGCCCTTATCATTATAAATTTACCAATTTTAATCATATTAAAAAATTGTTACAACATCCATATAATGATGTCTTCCGGGCCGAATTTATCAACGGAGACTTGCCATCCGCGTAGGTCAGGATTACAGTGCATCAGTCTAAAAGTGCGATGGGACGGACACAACAGGCTTTTCAGCCCAGTGTGATCTTTCCCCGGTTATAACCGGTTTACCCATATAAATGTATGTAATAGTAATATGTTATGGAATATATTATATATTTTGAATGGCGATTCTTCGACTTATTACATTTTCTTCTTTCAGACGACTCGACGCGAGTGATACTTAAGAATGGACCTACTGGCGACTATATTAATGCTTCATATATCAATATGGAAATACCAAACTCTGATCTCGTCCTGACGTATATTGCAACACAAGGTAATCTTTATTTTCGTTCTTATAATTACGCGAACAGTACACATTGATTAGAACTACTTTTACCGATTTTATCGTCTTTAATTTATTTGATTTTTAATTCCCGACGTTTTGGGTGCCTTCCAGCAACCATGGTCACGGGGGACTGAGGTGACTGACGTCCCGATGTCACGTCCCATAGGTGCTGGAAAGCACCCGGAACGACGCGGATTAAAAATCGAATAAATTAAACGCGATGAAATCTGTAAAAGTAGTTTTAATCAACAAGGTAACCTTTCTAATGACTGAAACCTTTTTCTACTTCTTTGCCAGTTTGTACCTAATTTAAAAAAATGTAAGCTTCAGTAATGGTAAACTTATATTAGCTGAGGTACATGCAAGTCCCCCCGCATTAATTAGTACACTAACAATGGATGCGTTTGGCAGAAAAAAGCGCTAGCAAGCGCTTGTAAGCAAAATGGCGATCGTTAGCGGTAAGCGCTGTCAAATCGTAAGTAGCTATTTTCCTCTAGGACACGAAGTTAGTTTTAACCGGGGAACCTAACCCATTATAAATTATGTAGGTAAAAAGTTACCAATCATGAATTTTTAATAACATGTATATCTCTATTCGTGTCATTGTATTACTTAAAACTAATATTGCACAAAACAACTTATAAACTCTACTTCAAAACAAACAAATTAAATAAGCAAAATGGCGGATTGTGTCAGCGCTACTGAAGTTAGCAAACGTGTCCTGGCTGAAAACTGTTTAGTTTCGCCATTTTGCTTACAAGCGCTTGCTAGCACTTTTTTCGCACCCAATCTCAATTCGTCTAGAGCCAACATCATTATTGTAAGAGCTGCGACGGGACCCCTACGTGTTCGGTTGACAGTAGTTGATAGTAAATGATAGTCAATACTGGGAAGTTGATGATTGGATAGTTTATTGATAGAACTAACTAAATCTAATTTAAGGATAGATGGGAAATGATACTGCAAGCACGCGTGACCGGTATTGCTGGGCTCAATTGGCGCACTGACTCAAAATGCATTATTGTAGCGTAATAGTGTAAACTGCCGACGCCACAAAAATGTACCTACTGCAGCTCGTACAATTATCATATCCTTTTTTAGGATTGAGGCATTCTATCTTAGCCCTCAATAATAACCATAGAATACTATAATACACAATACAATAGCTGTCAACCTTATTTTGTACGAGGAATGGCGTCGCCGGGAGCACACATACGAGCTATTACGACGTATTATCAGTTAATCACTACTACAAACCCGATTCGCTGTGTTGACAAACTGAGTGAATTTACACATTTTAGACTTGATATGTAAGATTTAATTTTAATTAATGAATATTTTGTTGTAAATAGTGTGTAAACTAATCGTAAATACTATAATAACATACACAAAAGTTTGACGGAATAATCTTGTTTAGCAACTTTTTAGATCGTCTGGGATTGTACAAAATAATCGTTTTTAATATTTTTCAATAATACATTTTTTTAAATCTATAATATAACTGCTTATAGGATATTCCCCCATCCAGTGGAATGAAATGTCAGGAAACAAATTTAAACCTATGAGGTTATGCAAAGTTTTGGCAACTAAAAGTTCTATCTTACATTTGATTAATTTATCCACTTGTGTTCGAATTATTCCTTCTGCCGTTTTACAAATCTTAATGACACTGTCTAAATGGTAAATGAGACTACCTTTATCCTTCGCCACAATAAATTTATTTATGCAGTGAACTAGGTGAGTCTGTTAACAGAGCGCCGACACAAGTATCACAAATCAGTTTTTTTACTAGAACATGTACCACGTTTCCGGCTATGTGACTTATTACTTGGCTAATAAAAGCGGAAAAATGTCTATATAACGAGCTTATTTGTTTTTCAGAACGTCCACTAGCTACCTCGTTTTCTCGAGCCATCACATTAGATGTTGAATTTATTCTTTTCACAGCGGAACTGCAAGTTAAAATTGAGAGATTTTCTAAAGCCATGCAATTATCTATATTCGTGTTTTTTACTTCAACGTGCACTAAAAGTTTTCTGTACGCAGCTTTAATCGCGGATGGGTTATTATTACACCTGTCATGAGTGTCGTTTGTCACATGTTGATTGATGATTATTTTCGCAGGTCCACTAGCTTCAACAGTTGGAGACTTCTGGCAAATGGTGTGGGAGAGTGAGAGTAGCCTCATAGTAATGTTAACGGTGCTGGTAGAACGTGGACGAGCCAAATGTCATCAGTACTGGCCTAAAGTTGGCACTACACCACTGAAAGCCACAGACACCTTGACCATATTTACACACAGTGAACAGAACCAGGGGCATTACATTAGAAGAGAAATGACTATAAAGGTTAGTGCAATATCATGTGTACAAAAAGATTCATTGTTAGGAATTAAAATAGTCAGTAGTCTAAATTGGAAAAGCCGTATAGAATGCGCGCTGTGAACCTTTCAACCTTTTTGCGTGTGATCCCTATCACAATAGGCTTGTAAATCGGTGGTGGAAGTTCATCGAGTCTTAGAACAATTTAAGCATGCTTTATATTGATTAATTGATATTTGAAGTGTCCAGCGAACATAGATAAAACATAGGTAAATCATCATAGATAGAACATAGGTAAATCATCATATTAGATAGAACATAAGTAAATCATCATAGATAGAACATAGGTAAATCATATAGATAGAACATAGGTAAATCATCATAGATAGGTGGAGGACGGAGTGCAGAGTTGGCATGTGGAATGTTAGAGGGGGCATGAGAGATAAGACGAATGAGTTGATCGAAATAATGAAAGAAAGAGAATTAGATGTCGTGTGTATGTCGGAGACCAAACGGAAAGGCAGTGGTACTGAAGAGCTCCCTGGCGGGACGTTAGCTATATGGTCCGGAGTCCCGGAAAGCGAGAACGCCTGCCAGGGAGTGGAGGTGCTGTTGTCGTCCCGGTTGGTCGATCTTATGACTGAATACAAGGTTGTGAACTCAAGACTTCTCTGGGTTCGCTTTAAACTGGGACTGACGAAGTTATTCCTTTTGGCTGTTTATGCGCCGGTAGCTTCGTCGTCCAGGGCTGAGCTGGAGGAGTTTTGGGAGAATGTAAGAGAAGTTCTAGATTTGGTTAAGGGAAACGAAAGAACTGTTGTATATGGTGATTTAAATGGATGGGTAGGTATCGCTCGACCAGGATACGAGTCGGTGCTTGGAAAGTTTGGCGATAAAAGGGTTAATGATGCTGGTAAGCTTATACTGGCTGTATGCAAGGAAAAGGGTCTTGTGACAAACACTATGTTTAATCACAGGAAAATCCATATGTACACTAGAGAAAGAAAGAATGAGAGAAGTATGATTGATTTGTTCCTGGTGGATGACCGACTGCGAAAACAGGTGATGGATACACGAGTGTTCAGGGGTGCTGACCTGGGAACGGATCACTATCTAGTAATTACTAGATTTAGGGGTTTGTTCGCGGGTTGGCGCTACCGGACGGCAGTAACAGAACCACAGTCGGTCTGTCACATCCGAAGCTGGAAGCTTCAGGAAGCGGATACTAGGGACAAATATCACACGAGGGTAGCCGCTTGCCTTGCTACCATCGATGGCAGGAAAGAATGTGTGGAAAGAACATGGCAGAACCTTAGGGATTGAATGGTAAGTGCAGCGGAAGAAGTATGTGGAACGACAAAAAGAGGTAGTAGTAAAAGAAGAGATGCATGGTGGAATGATGAAGTGAGAGAAGCTGTAAAAATGAAGAAAAAGGCATGGGTAGACTACTTGGCCTCTAGTAACGATAAGCGTATGACAGAGAAGACGAAAGAAAGATATAAGCTGCAGAAAGTTCATGCGAAAACATTGATTGAGAAAGTACGTGAAAGGTGTAGAATAGAAGCGGACGAGAGGTTGTCGCACAACTTTAAGGAAAACTCCCAACTCATCTGGAAAGAGGTTGGAAGGTCCCGGAGTGGTGCGACAGCCTTAAGAATGAACAAAGTGCTTTCGAGAACCAATGACGTCCTCTCAGAAAAATCGGACGTCATGCAGCGATGGAGTGAATTTTACAGAGAAATGTATGCGTGTCATGATCTTAGTGAAGGATCCGGGGGTGACGCCGTGACTGGCACGCCAGACACGGACCTCGATGACACTGAGGTCATCAGCATGAAAGAGATTGAACGTGCGATTCGAAGTTTGAAATGTGGTAAGGCTGCGGGACTAGACAGAGTTACTGCTGAAATGGTCAAGTACGGTGGGCCTCGCGTCTGGGACAGCTTTCGTCTGCTGTGCAATTTGTGCTGGCGGACGGGGGATGTCCCGGTGCCGGCATGTGCCTTTATATAAAGGTAAAGGTTCACATTTTGACTGCGGGTGCTATCGGGCGATCAGCTTGACCAGTTTAGCAAGTAAAGTTTACTCGAAGGTTTTGACACGTAGGATGCAAGAGAATCCCTTCACAGTGTTTTACGAAAATATGCATCAGAGTTATCTTTCAGGTTGAATACAACCATTATTATAAGCTAAAATAATTTATTTTAAGCGTTATTATAATGGAATATATAGTCTTTTAGTGTATAGCAAAACCTAAATTACGAAAATATTTCGATTTCATATTATAAAATAATATTATAAAATCACCAAAACTGTCTACTTCAATGTAATTTTTTTCATGTATTTGCTTATAAACATATCTATTTTAATTATTTTATCAAAATACATGTAATGTTAAATATCCAAAAAAAAAAATTAGCTCGTTTTATTTTATCAATTATTTTATATAATTATTTTAAAAATACTATAAAACATCATGTGCAGACGCAGTTTGATTCAGTACGCTCCGGGTAATCCCAACGACAGGACGTATTACTTTTTCTCACCGACACCGCGCGATCGCGTTGATACACCGATAGGGCTATACTACACCATACTATAACTAGATACCTATAGTACCATCGAGCATTTTAAACGATTGACACTTTTATAAGCGATATTTTTGGTAGTAAGTAATTTTGAAATGTGTATGATTGTAATATTTAAATATTAAATGATATAATGGTGGCAAATTTTCATTTCATACATATTTTTTTGGAAATGAGTAATGAACGTAAGCAATTCGGATCAAGTAAAAATACAAAATCATTGGCTTTCACCTTTGGCTCCGTGGCGGAGTGACTTGGTAATGAGTTGTAGCGCTGAGCGCCGCAGGTTCGAATCCCACATTTAACAAAAATTTGTATTACCTACAAATAATTGTTCCAGGTCTCGATGTTTGTCCTTGTGAAATTAATGTATTTGAACTGCCCCAACGATGTACTTAGGAAAAATTCGTAGTGTGCAGATAACGTTATGATTAAACAAAGACATGCCATCAAAATCATAACTTGTAAAATAACCAAGTCTCTCAATGATGATACGGCGGTGCCGCTGTTTTGCTCGACTTGGCGGGGGCACTACCGTGCCCCCAGATATAAAACATATGAGCCGTGCTTGAGTTGAGTAGCTCAAGGGCGTAGTGCTCGCCGTAAACGCGAACAATCCGGGCTCGGTCCCCGCTAGTGTTGCCCAGGTGTCCTGATTTGCGCGGGACGTCCCGATTCACCCTTGATCGGGACGCCAAATGTCCCGATTTTCACTAATCTTCTTATTCTATACTTTAATCCATAATTTTGACAGCAAAAATGATTATATCTGTTAGCTACTACCACATTAAAGAAAAATACAAGGACTGCAAAAAAAAAAAACAAATAGTTCAAAAATGTTTTAATTTGCTTAAAATGAAAAACAAAATCAGTTTTTACGATGTTTGGATGAAAAGTTATTCGTTTATGAGATCAGACCCGAATAATAATTATAAAGCACAAAAATAAAGTAAAGTTACAGTCACAATTTCTCGCATTACTCGCATGTGATATTTACACTTTACAGTTAGCGTTGACCATCTGAGCTACCACGGCTCTCAATAAAGCACAAAAAAGGCTACAAAGAAACCTATATTTTGTAGTCATTGTAGTTGTCCGGATATGAAAACCAAATGCCCGATTATTTTTACCTTCCGTCCCAAAATTTTACTTGCTAGACCTGGCAACACTACTACCCGACGACACTAATGAAATTGTTAGTTTGTGATGAATTATGTTTACATTATGAAACAGAATAAAAGTTTATCAAATGATATATATTTTATACAATACATATTTTTCAATTAGAACATATACATATTATAATATACCTACTCAATAGGGTGAAAATGTAAAGCCGACTTCAATTTACTAAAAGAATAAAACAATTTCCACATATTAGCCTCCGATTTCTATACACTATATAAGCCATTATATGGAAATTATTTTTTTATTATTTTAGTTCCAATAGTACAGGTATATAATCAAATATCAAAGTGATTCGTAGTCGTCGTTAGGCAACTATTATAGCCTTACGCTCGCCCTGACACGCACACAGAGATAACATTGTAGTGTGCGTCAATATTACCCCGTTCCAAAGCGATCGCGTAGATTTCGACTTGGACATATTTGAATATGCGCTTTTAAGGGCTGTGCAGTCACTTTACTATAACTGTAAAGCCTGTGGGCATGACCTGTCACCCATGTTTAGCGTCCAAGCGGGCGTAAAACAGGGTTGTATCATGTCTTCCTGGCTCTTCATACTGTATCTTGACAGCTGTTTACAGAAGCTGAAAAATAGCTGTTTGGGTGTGAAATTGGGTGACATTAAAGTATATTGTCTGCTGTATGCTGATGATGCAGTGCTTATTGCACCATCAGAAGCAGAACTGCAGGCGTTAGTCACGTGTATGAAAGAGGAATGTGAAATTAAAGGTCTCCGTTTGAATGCTAATAAAACTAAGGTTCTGGTATTTGAAAAGGACGAAGAGAGAACGAAATGTGAAATATGGGTAAATCAGGAATGTCTAGAACAGGTAAATGAAATTGTATACTTGGGGAGTGCTTTCAGCCGGGATGGAAGATGTGATTTAGATGTGGATAGGCGTGTCGCTGCCGGAAACAAAGTCAATGGTGCCCTGAATGCATTAGTCAAAAGGCAAGGCGTGGTGAAGAGTGCACGCCTTGCAATACATAACGCAGTGTTGGTACCGACTTTGTTATATGGCAGCGAAACCTGGGTATGCCAGAAGAAGCATAAAAGCAAGTTGAATGCAGTGGAGATGCGATCTCTTAGTAAAATGTGTGGCGTTACCATAGCCGATCGAAAGCGAAACGAAGAGATTCGCAATATGGCAGGATTGAAAGATGACCTTATCACAAAAATTTATAGGGGCGTACTCCAATGGTTTGGGCACGTTGAGCGAATGAGTGAAGACCGAATGGTGAAGAAAATATATA